CCCGCTCCCAGAAGGCCATCAAGCTCATCTTGGTGGTCATCGTGAGCTTCTTCGTCTGCTGGTTGCCCTACCACGTGGTGGGCTTGATCCTGGCCTCCACCCACCCTCGCAGCGCCTTGTTCAAGGGCGCCCTGGAGGCCGACCCCGTCGTGGCCGGCGTGGCTTACATCAACAGTTGCATCAACCCCATCATCTACGTCGTGATGGGTCAGGACTTCAAGGACAAGTTCCAGCGGTCCTGGAGAGCCGTCCTGCGGGGCGTGTTGATGGATGACCCCACCAGCACCATGGGGGACAGCAGGATGAAGACCAAGTCCACCGTGGATGACCAGAGCGTCAGCACCATGGTGTGAGCGGGAAGAGCGCTTGAGGCCGCCGCCACCGTCTCCTCCTCCTCGACCTCTCACCCCGTAGAGGGAAGAAGGTGCCTCCATCTCCCCCTTTCCCCCACCGGTTGCCCCGCGAGCTGAGGACGTTGTGCGCCCACCTACCCCTGGGGACCTCCTCCTGCCTTCCTCGGCGGCCTTGCCCTTGCACCTCCTGCTTCTCCAGCCCAAACTGGGATCTTCTTTCCAGCTCCTCCCCTCCCAACCCATCATCTCCCCCACCCAAGGTGGGGCTGAGCCCACTTGAAGGCTCAACCCCCCTCCATCACCCCAAAAACCCTCAAGGCCACCCCGCTGATGGGCCTGGCTGCTCTTCACCATCCCCCTGGCTTCACCGTAGCCGCGTCCACCGTCACCAATAAAAACCAAAGTTCCTTCAAGCCTTGAGCAAGACCCCGGCCCCTCGGTTCTCCTTTTTTTTGGTTGGTTATTGGGCAAGATTTTGGCTGCCTCAGCAGATTTTTGAGGTCACGGGTGATGCAAGAAGAGCTGCAGCGTGTGTCCCTCCCCGTCCGGAAAGTCCTCGCCGCGCCTGCGCCGGGGTCTTGCTTCACCGTGTGGGGCTGGGGACGAGTGGAAGGTGGTGGTGGTGCTGGTGGGGGGCTGGGGACCTGGGAGGCAGGTGGGCAAGAGGGGGACGTTGAGGGTGATGGGGACAGTTGGATGTCAAGGGGGTTGGTTGGGGACAGTTGGGCACGAGGGGGACGTTGGGGACAGTTGGCCATGAAGGGGGATGGTTGAGGGTGGGGACAACGGGGATGGTTGGGGACAGTCGGGCACGAGGGGGATGTTGGGAATGATGGAGACAGTTGGACGTCAAGGGGGGACGGGCATCAACAGGGATGGTTGGGGCCAGTGGGGGTGGTTGGGGACAGTTGGGCACGAGGGGGACATTGGGGACAGTTGGATGTCAAGGGAGATGGTTGAGGACAGATGGGCACAAGGGGGATGTTGGGGATGATGGGGACAGTTGGCCGTCAAGGGGGATGGTTGGGGACAGTTGGTCATCAACAGGGATGGTTGGGGACAGTCAGGCACGAGGGGGACGCTGGGGACAGTTGGCCATCAAGTGGGATGGCTGAG